AGAGTGAGGGCTGAACATCTTCCTGGCGAACTCCACAATCAACAGGGAACCATTCAGAAAATTTTGATAATCTATAGAGCAATAGTTAGTGCATATAGTCTTGCATCTGAAATTAGCTCTGAAAAAGTGCAGTCGAATTGACGCTGAGCGATTTCAGGCGTAGATGCCAAATTAGAGGTATTTAATGAAAAACGTAGCCTTGCTTGTCCAATATCATTGCATGTGCTCAAAGCCCATTTTAATCCTAACACTTTTTAATGCCCAGATGTATCGCATAAATTTAAAGAAAAAACAAATAATTTCCAAGCTTTGTGAATGAATTAATATTGCAACACGACAAATGTTCGCTTTATAATGCTATTGAGCATTATCTGTGGCAAAAGTCGCAGCATGGACGATGCGCCAGTTATTAAATTAAATTAAAACTCATTGAATCATTTTTGGTCGTTGCGCCTTCTGTCACCTTCTTCATGATTCAACGGATGTCCGCAACTTTCATTAGCCTGAAATCATCTAGTTCGAGGATCAGTCACTGATGAGTTGCTTTGTCGTGAATTGCACGTGGCAAATGCATCCTCATTAGGGACTCTGGGTTTCGTCTCAGAGATATCAAGATCGAAATCAAACTCTTCAAAAGACGCACGTGGAGCTACCTTGCCAGCTGCCGGATGCTCGGTGATGACGCTTCTGCAGGGGCTGTCAAAGGATTCCGTTTTCTTGAGGAGGATGACGGGAAAATTTGTATTAGTAGAATCGGTCGCCCGAGGCGACAAATCATCGGCAAGGACGTTAATTAAGCAGCACCTCTCTGATTGCAGTTGATTGTCTGCAAAGGAAAGCACTGAACCGGAAAAACACGTGTTCTGCCTCATACCTTTCGCTTCCTCGTCCCTCATTGGAACGTGTTGTTGCCTCAGACAAGTCTGCTCATTTGCTTCCACTTGAGCGTTGGTTTCGGTGGCACGAGAATAGCTTAGTCCGGGCTTCATTTTTTCCTGTTGCATATTAATTAGATTACTGGTTGATGAAAGCAACGTTTCAGTCGTGGAATCAACCTGGAAAAAAACCACTATTGTGCATGTATCGTC